CATCCCTAAGCATCTGTAAACATCTGAGCATCCCTAAGCATCTGTAAACATCTGAGCATCCCTAAGCATCCGTAAGCACCTTCAAGCATCCGTGCACATCCGCGCGCATCCGTCAGAATCCGCAAGAATCCGTCAGCATCCTCGCGATGGAGTCGTCTAGCAGCTGCGGCCTCGGCGGCTGCCGGCCTCGCTGCCTGCAGCCGCTGCGCAGCGTCAAGGTGTTCATGATGCTGCTGACGCTGACCTTCATCGGTGCCGACGGCTTCTCGGGCTACCTCGTCGGCTGCATCACGACGATCGAACGGCGCTTCGAGTTCTTGAGCAAGCAGTCGGGCCTGCTCATGACGATGAACACGCTCGCGTTCGTCGTCTCGATCATCTTCACGAGCCACGTCGGCAGGGCGCACAAGCCGCTCGCGATCGCCGTCGGATGCGTCGTCAGCGCCGTCGGCATCCTCGTCACCATGGCGCCGCACTTCGTCTTTGGATCCGGTGTCGACGACACCGAGGCGACGGTCCCCACGGCAACCGTCGCCGTGGCAGCGAAAGACGGCGACGGCCACTCGACGTGCTTCGGCGGCAACGGCACAGAGGATGCGGGCGACTGCGGCGACGACGGCAACGCCAACGAGATCGCGTACGCGATGATGTGCGTCGGCGAAGCGATACGCGGCGTCGGCAGCTCGATCTTCTTCACGCTTGGCTTCGCTTACGTCGACGACAACGTCGGCCGTTCCTACGCTCCCTTCTACCTCGGTGAGTACATTAATGATAACACTGGCTCTATATACCTCGGTAAGTACATTAATGATAACACTGGCTCTATATACCTCGGTGAGTACATTACATTAGTGATAACACTGGCTCTATATACCCCGGTGAGTACATTAATGATAACACTGGCTCTATATACCTCGGTGAGTACATTAATGATAACACTAGTTCTATATACCTCGGTGAGTACGTTAATGATAACACTGGCTCTATATACCTCGGTGAGTACATTAATGATAACACTAGTTCTATATACCTCGGTGAGTACGTTAATGATAACACTGGCTCTATATACCTCGGTGAGTACGGTAATGATAACACTGGCTCTATATACCTCGGTGAGTATATTAAAGATAACACTGGTTCTATATACCTCGGTGAGTACGTTAATGATAACACTGGCTCTATATACCTCGGTGAGTACGTTAATTATAACACTGGCTCTATATACCTCGGTGAG